TAGGCCACTGCAACCTATGCGGCCGCAGTGGGTCCCGCACTTTCATAGGCCCCGCACTTTCATAGGCTTGCGCGAATTCTGGGTGTAAATTATTAAAGTACACCATTTTAACTTATGGGTTTCGGGAATTCTCCTGAAATTGTAAAATACACGAAAAAGTCATGAAGATCTCCTGAAATTATTAAAATCTTCTGAAAACTGATGCAAATCTCCTTAAAAACAGACAAAATTGTCTTTTCTGGGTGTCATTCAATATGGAAAACGCAAATCCTATTAGCAATTTAAAAAAAAAGGCATTGGCAGCTTTCATTTAATAAATAATAAATATTAATGCGAATTTTAACCAAAACAAAAAATTCAAATTCTTAATTTACTTTAATAGTCACTGGCATACAAATATAGATCTAAATCTATCTCGACCTCTAAAAAAAAAAAGCGATATTTTGCTAGTCAATAGTAAATCTAAAAGGCAGATCTGAATGTTTATCAGCTTTTTGTTGGAAAAAATACTATCTACTGTAGATGGCTCCTTAAGCTAATTGACAGTGATTTAGTACTTAGTAAAGTATGATACAATAGTTTACCAACTAAAAAGTATGTAAGGGGGGTCTTAAAAACGTTGCCCGTTTATTGAAATTGCAAAAAAAAAGGTACGCTATGATAAAAATATAGAGCCTGTGAACAAATCAACGGGCGTAGCGGGTGTGTACTGCTAAGTGCTAATCTACATCTTGTTTGACCGCTGCTCCTACACAGACTAATGCTGCGTACCAGCGCACTGTTAGACGCAAGACATGAACAGTGGAGAGATGACTGTGGACATAAGAGAAGAAACGCCCAAGTCTGGAGCTTTTGGAGAAGCTATGCTAAAGACCTTGTTATTCTATACCTTTGTTATGTCACATTAATAAAGACATGTATTGGTCGAGTTGCCTATATAGTAGAATAGTAAGCCTACAATAGAAATATGAGACACAAAAGTTGACTAGTCTATAAATAACGTTCCACTAAAAGCAAGCACGTGACTATGTTTTCAAATACATCAGCTGACTTGAATTCGAGTGACTCGCTCTAATTTCCTTGGCATAGTTATTTATTGACTTCCATTTAAACTACAAGGCTAAAATGAAGTGATGTTTAACCTTGACATTAGCGCAGCAAAAGAATACCCACTTCAACTAAATCGACTTCAGAAACCACATGTCTACTTAAGACGACAGGGAGAGAGGAAGTGTGTCAACTGCAAGTCATAGGGAAACGCCAATACTTACATTTCTCTCCTTTGGAAAATCTGTTTAAGTGTTATCTTACGCTAAAGTTTACAAAGACAGTTTGTGTGGAAACACAAACTCAAAATCGGCACACGAATTGGTCCACCCAGGCAGGGAAAAATGCAGGTTTCAATATTTTCAGAAAGAATATCAGAATGAAATTCTCTCAAAGACAAAAGGCAGAGAAGAAAGGAGAAAGACGGTTGACATATCTATTGTGATGCCCCAGCAGTCCAGCAGACTAAAGGCTATGTAAAAGTGAATGTGAAGTTAGATGTGAACCTTGCCTAACTGATGTCTTATAATGATTAACTAATTGGTCTAAATGTTTTGTAAAAGGTCAATCTCATATGCAAAGCCTCAAAGAAAAAAAAAATTCGTATATAAAATAAATCCTAAAGCTCTAGCAATTAGTCAATTAGACGGCATACACTGAGCGCCGCAGTAAACGCGATACTATGAACAACTTTGTATTAATTGTTGTTTTACATTATGTTTCACTTATATGCAAACTAAATAGATTTTTTCTCTTTAAAAATAAAAGTACAATTTTTTTGTAAATGTAGTAGTTAGTATGACAGAACTTACTTAATTTTGTAATACAATTGTCAAAAAAAAAATATTTTGACAAAAAAATCTAAAACGGTTTGCATAAATGTGTTAGAAATATGGTAAATAGTAATCTCCCTTACTAAATCGCCTCCAGTGTTTGTTACTATTAATAGTGAATAGTTGTAAAAATGGTGTATTTTTATGAACAAAATGCTTGCATACTTGATTTTAAAAATTAGATTTTTCGCTTTCAAAAAAGTAGCCGTTGCATCAGAACTTTGAATGGTCTAAAATATTATAATGTCGAATTTTCCCAAGTTTATGAGAGCCAAACGGGACGGACGGAAGCTAAAAAACATGTCTGGTTGCTCTCAATATTATTTAGGTTTAAATACACATGTACATGTACCGGTATATAAATGGGTACCTTACAAATAACCTTGTTCTGCTGAAGGCTGGTGTAGAAGAACTACTCTGACCTTTCGACATCTGCGCTGGAACGGACACCTATCCCGTAAGGAGGATGGCCACATACCAATGGCGATTTTTTATATTTTTTTTTTTGGCGTGCTTAATGGAAGCGCTGTCACTCGCCATTTCACTCTCATTGGTACAGAGCAAAACAGTTGGCAGCGGATCCTTAAACTTTCCGAATCAAAGAAACTTGTTTATCTATAAAAAGGTGTAGACATCAATATAAATATGCTAATCGTGATGGGCTATCATTTTTAATTGTTTAGTAACATTCGATACCATCGTATAATTAATTCTTGATATCGGAAATGAAGTCATCAAGTCGACAGTCCGGAAAGCAAACCAAACTATTAGGAAACTTTTCATCAAACTTTTTTCGTGATACCTGAAAACACAGGCACAAGTTTTATACATGAAACAAAGCGTTATTCGGTAAACGCTGAAAACAAGAAATAAGGAGGTACGAGGACCCACCTGCTGAAAACAAGAAATAAGGAGGTACGAGGACCGACCTGCTGAAAACACAGAAAAAAAAAATACAAAGTTCTATGCGGGGATGTTATCATGCAGGTCAAACAAAACAAAACATAAAATTACGAAGTCGTAAAGAAAGTGATTAGTACCAAACTTGTTTAAGGTCAGCAACAACAACAACAAAAATGGTTCCCCCACACAGACAGGCGAGTCAGCTAAGCTCCAGTAAAACGTAAATGAAAACATCCTAAGTTTCTACAATTTTTTCGCAGCCCACCTCTTGAAACAATTAGAAGTAAGATTAATGGTTCATGGTCTAAAGAAAACTCAACCGCCAGAGTTCAACCATGTAAAACATTTGAGAGCCCAACACGGAATCAGAAAACAAGACAATGAGACCCAAGTGTGAAACAGTTTCTCAACATAGACAATGACCCTAGAGCAGGGGTGGGCAACCTTTTGCTACCGAGGGCCGCATAAAAAAAATGTGGGGACTGGCGGGCCGCATACATTTTTTTTTTACTCCCAGTTGAGGAATTACAACAATAGTTAGCAATTTCTTGAGCTAATTTTACGAATAACTTTTAAAATTTTGTTATTGTCTTTTTACATTACAACATTTCACAACAAATGTACAATAAACCTTAATGTGAAGCATTTAACTGTTTACATTCGTGCATAATGTTCTGTAACTGTAGAACTAGCTTACTAGTTGTGTTCTTGCGACTGCTGTCAAATTACAGTCAATGAGCATCGACCTGTTCTAAGACTTGATAATTTTGAAACAAACGAAATAAAGCGTGTTCGCAGCAAAGCATTCTTAAGTATGGGAATACAGCTTCTGGCAGTCATGAGACTTCTTTGGAAGAACTAACTGGAATTACTCTTTCAGGTCATATTTTGCTTAGAGGTATGTCATCTGGAGCTAAATCATTAAATGGTAAGCTGATGGTATTGAAAACTAGCTCCAAGCTCTTGACGTCTCAAAATTTGCTTTCAAATTCCACAATCAAGGAATCCAAATAGGTCTTCTAATTTCATCCATTTCACTAGAAGGAAGCTAAGGAAAATGATGACCTGATTTCACTCGCTGGCTCGAGAAGTAGAATAACTTTGTTTGAAAAGATTTAAGATGCACATACATTTCATTTACAAACAAAACATTGCAATGTCTCCAACTCCAAGTCTGTCTTCAACTCTTCATTAGAAATATTAATAACAAAGTCACAATCAACGTCCTTCAATGAACCTATTTCTTCCTTGAGATTCCTTATTCTTCTATGCCAACGGATACTACTGTGTTACCGAACATCTGAATGTTTTTTTTTGTTTCCAAATCTTCAAGTACTTCTCGGAACTGCCATGACCGGCAGATAATTGGAGGCCCTTGGCAAAGTGAATTTGGTGGCCTCAAATAAAAAAAAAAGCGACAACAGTAAAACTATGCAATTTATTAAAAACCTATTGTACTTCAACAATAACTTTGAGGACAAGTTTCCATATTTCTTCTCTAAAATAATCGGTGAAGAGTTAGTGCATGGCCCTCACCATTTGGGGACCCTAAGCAGTTTGTCTATGCCTAAGGCTGGCTCTGTGCCAATAATAAGATCATTGAGAATTCAATTCCAACAATATATTTGATATTCAATGCTTTATTTTATTAAAATGCCTGTTTTTCTTAGTCAAAGCAAGAGCTCCATTAGTTGTTACACTTGCCATCACTTTCAACACAGTTTTTGATAGAATTGAATAAAGACTGGCTTGTGTTTGTCTTTGACTGAATGTTTCGAAATATTGCCATTTTAAATAATCTTCGTTTATTTTAAACTTTTTAGAATGACGTTTAAAGACAGTGTTTATTTAGCTTCTTCATGATAAGTGATAAGAATCAGAAGTTTCAATTATTTCTAAATCTATAGATATTTAAAATTATTTATTTAAATATATTTGCATTTTAATATGTGTAATGTGTGGGAACACCTGATTTCTTTAGGCGTCGGCGGGCCGCATGTGGCCCGCGGGTCGTAATTCGCCCACCCCTGCCCTAAAGGGTTGTAAAGATAACAGGAACAAGCTAGTCAACAGTCTTTTCAAGAATTTGTATTGCTTGTGTTGCTACGATATTTTGTTGGGGTGGACATGTTTACATGAATGACATTCAAATACTCCTTTTATCTCACGTTAGTCACATCACAACACATAAGATCAGATAAAAAAACAACAATGTGTGTGTGTGTACAGTTCAACAGGTTTTTATTCCAGTTTCATTACATTCAATTGTTTTGATTCAATTTTTTCTTTTCCTTAAAGCAGACATTAATTTTGTACTAAATAAACAAAATACACACTGGAATACTTTATTTCAAAGACTCAAAATACAGACATCTCTACTTGTCGTTTAAAAACTGCAAGAGGATTCCTTTTTTTTAATTAGCTACACAAATAAAATAAATGAAAATGTTCAAATTACTAGATGACTTCAACTGAAATGAACACAAAAGTTTCATCCAAGTTTGTATCAATGTGGCCCGTTCCACCAATGAAAGTTCATTTCTAAGAATGTCTATTTTAAATTAAAATTTAAAAAACTTTTTCTAAATGTAGTTCCAGTCATCAGCTTGAATTTAACAAGTGCATCAAATATTTAAAACAAAAATTGAGTCTTTAAATGTATTCATTATTTGCAATGTCTCCACACAGCCTGTAAAGATTTTTAGAAACGTCTGCAAGTTGTAGTCAAAGAAAGTTAAGCAGCACATTTAGCTTGGAAAAAACTCTGGATCAATGTAGTTTAAAATACACTTTTATAAAGGAGCTCCTTTTAGTGACATTTTCCACTAGATTTCTTTTATTTTTGAATATATATCAATAAGTGAATGAGATGGGACTTCTTTGCATTGTCACTCCTTTCATTGACACTAAGGAAACTTTCTCTAAGCTTTTGAAATGGCTGTCAGAAAGTGATTAGCTCAAAGCAACATTATTTAACAATGTGACTGACCTCATATTACTTAGTCTACCTTTTAGATGTGTGAACATAGTTATTTCTTACTTGAACATTGCTAGCAATTAGTCACTACGGATAAATGAAAGTTTTCCTTATCCTTTGAGTGCTTTTCAACATACCACCAAGACATTTCTGTGCTCATAATTGCATAGCCTTTCACAAGGTAATCTGGTTTTGTAATATTTCTTTTTATCATTTTAAAAATCAATTGAAACTTCTGTGCTTCAAGAAAACAAAATAAACTTTGGTATTTTAGTTTTCTAGATTTCATTCCAAGAAGCCATTCTCACACATATGTAATAATTTTAAAAAAAATCTTTGAAGATTGATAGAATTTAAATTTTTTTCATAGTTTCCAAATATACATGATAAGATTTTGATATAAATACTTGGCATGAATTTCAATAAACAACTATTTATAGTTTCAAGACAAATATGAACAAAAAAAAAATCACTGAAAGAATGTACAAAGTTTGTGTACATTCTCTTACCACTTGGAAGTACAAAGTATTGGGTTGAGAGTGTTTCTTCACTAATACAATGTGCCCACATAGGAGTTCTACATCAACACTGACATGGTATACAAAGTGAACTATTTTGTTGAAGATGTACATTTCTATTCTACTGACATATTGTTTTTTTTTTTTTTTTCTTCTTATAAACATTCCAAATCAAACATACAAGTTCAATGTAAACAACAATCTTACTTGCAGGCCTAAGTTAATATCTTTGAATATGAAATACTGTCATCTCTCTCTCAGTATTCTCATGACCTCATGACATACTGAATGGATCAGGGCCCATAGGCTTACACTTTATCAATTTCAAATGTTTGCATTTTAATTTAAAGAGATCCGATTTTTTTTTCAGGTAATTTATTTTTTTGTTACCAATAAATAAATAATTATGGCTTCTTTTATTGGTTCGTTATTTCAACTTTTTAGACCATCAAGATAAAACTACATAATGGCTTTCATTCATAAACTACATAATGGCTTTCATGAATACATTTCAAACAATTCTATTAAAATAATTTTGATTTTTCAATTATTTTATACGATTTTTATGATTAAGCTTTTTTCTTTTTTAAAGTGTTTATTTTGAGGACAAATGTGTACAGGTCTTAATTTTCAAAAGTAACTGACAATAATAAAAATGACCAAAGATATGAGGTTCCAATGTAAGTATCATTACATATAGTAACCTTTCACTACATACATATATATATATATATTATATTTTATAAAATTTAAAAAGTATAATTAACACTAAAAATGTTTGTTTTAATGTTCACAAAAAGTACACAACTAAATTTTCATTTCACAAATAATCTACTTTTTTCCCCAATGTTTTTAATTTTATTCTTCTTTCAGATACAAGATACATATATCACCACTCAACAAGATGTTTATTGACTAAACCAACATAAAATAAAAATTAAAAAATTGATACAACTTCCCTTTCAATGATATGCATCAGTGCCCATCCCATATAACCTTGAAGACATGTCTGACACAAAGCGTTGCCTCAGAGAAATCATATTTCGGAAGAAGTTTTGTGTCATGGGCGGGACGTGGTTGGGCATCACAACACTACAGACACTCAGCATGTCATACAACAGAACAAAAAAAAAACTATCATTGCATGGAGACACAAACTTGTTTAATTTTTACAAAGAATAAATAGTTGAGAAAAAAAAAAAAAGCCCTTTTCCTGTTGGTTAATATAAAAGTTGAAACCTCCAAAGAGAGGAATAAAAATGTCTTGACTTCATTTGACCACCCAGAGCATTAGAAAGTTTATAAGAAACGAAGACAAAAAAAAACTGTGGACTGTTACAGTATCAGGGGATCAAAGTACTATACGGTTCAACACAATGATGGACAAGGCATTTAACTTAGATGTAAGGACAAGAAGACAAACACACACATTACACAAACTATGGAAGAAAGGTTGAAGGTCACGTTGTGGCCTGGGCAGAGGCTGCAGCAGCGTGGGCAATGTTCTCTCCAAGTGCTTCCAGCAACTCTCGCCTGTAGTCATCAAAGTCTCCATCAATCTCATTGATTGTTTTATTCTCTACCACCCAGAGCTGACAGTCTGTTTCTCTGATCAGCCTCTCGTCATGGCTGACAATGATTACACCTGCCAGGCGATTAAAAGAGGGGAGTTAAAAACAGATGAAGGTGGGGAATCAACAACAAACAGGGATGAAAAAGGGCAGTTAACAACAAACAGGAATGAAAGAGGTCAGTTAACAACAAACAGGTTAATAATATGAGAGATGTGTTTCCTATTCTCATTACCACTGTGTCAGTTAAAAAAAAAAAGACTATTCAAAATTAAACAAAATTAGGTCAAAACATGTCATTCAATTAGGTCATGATGATTGCTCCAGGGGAAATCTGATAGTTCAATGTCATGAACAAAAATTAAAAACCTTTTGAAGGTGGAAATTCCAATAACGCATTGAAGTCTTCTAGTTTTGAAAAGAAAGAAGGTTTAACTACTTAAACTACTTAAGTTACAAAAACAAATGTTTCATAACTATTTTGTCACAGTAGGAATTTCTGTTTTACATCCAGATAGATGTTTTAGAATTAGTTTCAATTTGAAATTGCCTAGAGAGGCTTTTTGTCTTTTTTTTTTTACCCCCAGTGTATTTAAAGAGCTTGCCTCAATGAATACTTTTGTTGGAAAAAAAAGGTTGCTGGTTGGTGTGATGGCCTCATGAGATCAGTGCTCACTACTGTTCGTAGAAACTTTACAAACTGCCTTATTAACTGATAGGTTTCTAAGCAAAACACCAATACAAATTGTAAAAAAAAATACTGTTATCACATTACATTATTTTATTTTGCTTTTAACAAGAAATTAACTTGGTCAATTTTTGTGTCATTTTATGGGCCACTATCACACCATCCCAAAAGCATAAAAAAAAATATAACATACTAGCAAACCATAAACTTTGGTTGACAAAAGACTTACCACCAGTAAATTCTCTAATAGCATCAGCTAAAGCATCAATGGATTCTATATCTAGATTATTGGTAGGCTCATCCTGTCCAAACATAGAAAGTGTGTATTAGTAAATGTACAAAAAGATGGAAGAGAAATGACATGAAGTTCAACCAATAACCTTAAATTAGTTCATGGAGGCTTATAATGACATTGGTTCTCATAGGTGGCTGAGTCTATGCTGGACGCCTTTGACAATGTCCCTGAAGCGTTTTCTTTGACCACCTTGCAAGCCCTTTCCTTCCCTTCATTGGCCATACAGGAGTTGTTTAGGGATGTTGTGGTCTTCCATTCTGCAGACGTGTCCTGCAGCTGGGACTGCATCAGGATTGTGTGGATGCTTTGCAGACACGCTCTTTGAAGGACTTCAGTATGTGGTATTTTGTCTTGCCATTTGACAGTATTTTTCTCAGACATGTCATGTGGAAGTGGTTCAGTTTCTTTGCATGTTTTCTGTACACTGTCCATGTTTCTGAGGCATCTAGCAATGTAGGAAGGATGACGGCTCGATGGACTCCTAGCTTTGTATTTGTGGTGACACCTCATCTGTTCCAGACATCTTTAGACAGTCTGCCTTAGGATGCACTGGCCTTGGCAAACGCAGGTCAATTTCATATTAAGTTATTAGGTCATCATTTCTATAGCTATTTTTATTCCGTATTTATAGCTGTAGCTATAAATATGGAATATAGCTACACCTTGACAGAATCTGTGGCACACTTGATCCTTGCCTTTCCTTTAAACACATTGACTGCGTAGAAAGTGGGAACTGCTGTGTGGGTGACATCTACCCAGCCCTAGTTAAGGCCCAGGTTTTATCTCCTTTCTATGACAGGATCCATATTTGATTCAAGACTGAAGGAGGCCATAAATAAAAGTCCCAAACAAAACCTAAGCTTTATGAGTGCACAATCAGTCACTAAAGGTTATGCAATAGTATGATAGCATCAAGTCTCAATTGAACACAAGAACCAGATGTGATCAAACATCACTAACTCATGAACTACTTTACTAGAACATTATTTGCACATAAAATATTTAACCATTTTACATTTCAAAAACTTTGAATTTGCTTGTACACAGCAAACAAAAAAAAATTAGCAAGTATTATTTTAAAATCTGAAACTTTTGATTTTGTGATCATAAGCAAGAAGAAAGGCTATTTTGTCAGAAAAAATGTGACATTTCAATCATTAGGACAAAAAAAAACACACTATTTAACCAGATTTCAAAGCAATATCACATTTAACTCCAGATGAATGATCAGAAAGTAAACAGTTAAAAAAAAAAAAAAAAAAAAAAAAGGAAGTGTATTTAAAACTTGTGTAGGTAATGGTGTGTCCTGTGTGGCATTATTTAAATTAATTAAAGCTGTATTTTTTAAAGGCAGTAATGATTACTATTACTGTTAGGGAACAAAACTGTTAACTAATACTGTTAGAATTACTGTGTGTGTGTTGGGGGGGGGGGGGGGGGGGGCGCATGTGAGTGAAATGAGTTAAGTGAAATGGTTTAATCCTAGAATATATATATATAGTTCATCCATCGTGGTTCAATGATGACCACTTTGTCATCCAGGGGGCTGAGGGCTTTGCACTGGGGTTTTATGCATCCTCATGTGGCTGGTGAGACCTATGTGAGCCCGGAATGTTCGGCCGCACACTGGGCAGGTTATTCCAGCTGGAGCTAGTGTCGTTTGCCTTGCTTTTCGTTTCTGGCGTTTTTCTTCTGCCAGCGTTGTTCTTTTTTCCTCAGCAACCTGTGCGCCAGTTTTCACAGCGGGACGCCATGATGCTCTGTCATGTGCCTCTGTCTCCCAGGTGCCTGGGTCTATGCTGAACGCCTTCAGAGAAGCTTTGAGGGTGTCCCTGAAGCGCTTTCTTTGACCACCTTGACAGCGCTTTCCTTCGCTTAGTTGGCCATACAAGAGTCGTTTAGGGATGCGGTGGTCTTCCATTCTGTAGACGTGACCTGCCCATCGCAGCTGGGAACAAAATGCTGACCTGTTTTCAATATATGTCGACTTAACAAAGGCATTCGACACTGTTAGCAGAGAAGGAATCTGGAAGATCATGTCAAAGTATGTTTGTCCACAAAAATTCATAACTATGGTGAGACTATTTCATGATGGCATGAAGGCTCGTGTCCAAGAAAGTGGAGAACCCTTCAAAGTATCAAATGGGGTAAAGCGAGGCTGTGTCCTAGCACCTACACTGTTCAGTATCATGTTCTCCGATATGCTGACGGATGCATTCACAAATAGAGAAAACAACGGGATAAATATATTATACAGATTTGATGGTGGCCTATTCAACCCGAGGTGGCTTAAAGCAAAATCAAAAACAAATGCAGCAGTAATCAGAGACTTGCTATTTGCTGACGACTGTGCCCTAAATGCCTGCTCTGAAAATGATCTGCAGAGCATCGTCAGTGACTTCTCCAGAGCATGCTCAGACTTTGGCCTTACCATCAATACGAACAAGACTGAAGTCTTATATCTACCTGCTCCTAGGAAATCCTACTCGGATCCAAGCATCACTATAAATGGACAGGATATAAACGCAGTGGACAAATTCACATATCTTGGCAGCACACTCTCCAGAAATGGAAAAATCGATAGTGAAATCGACCTGAGTATAGCCAAGGCCAGTGCATCCTATGGCAGACTGTCTAAAACTGTCTGGAACAGACGTGGCATCTCCACAAACACAAAGCTAGGGGTCTATAGAGCCGTCATCCTCCCTACATTGCTCTATGCCTCAGAAACATGGACAGTGTACAGTAAACATGCAAAGAAACTGAACCACTTCCACATGACATGTCTGAGAAAAATACTAAATGTCAAATGGCAAGACAAAATACCAGATACAGAAGTTCTTCAAAGAGCGTGTCTGCAAAGCATCCACACAATCCTTGAATACTACACTACATAATGATGCAAGGCCGAACGATCATAAAAAAAAAAAAAATCAAACTTCCTTGCACTAGCTTGACTTCTTTGAAGTCTATTAAAATAAGAACGCCTCTACTTTCACATTTCTTACCAAGATGAGAACATCAGGAGCTCTACATGAGAGGTCAGCCAAGGCTACTCTTGATTTCTGACCTCCAGACAGATCTCGTATGGGGATAGTGTGGGCATGACCTGCAAGTCCAAACTGACCAAGTTTTTTCCGTGCGTCTTGATATTGAAGATTGAATGTATCCTGGAAGAAAAACAATTCACAAAAATTAGAAAACTAGATTTTCAAAGACTAAACAGGATTATTTATAAGAACACTTACTGGTATGCAGAGATGCTGGGCATAATTTATGCCTTTTGAAAAATCATGATTTTTTTAGAGAAAGAAATTAAAATTGTTTGTATAGAATATTTTCAACCATATTCTCCTTTGTTTGTAAGCCAACCCTCCGAATTTATTTTTTGGAGCAGGAAAATAGAAGTGTACAACTTTTATTAAAATGAAAAGTTGACCACAATATGACTTAATAGTAAAACACGTAGAAGTTGGGTATTTCCTTAGTGAAGCAACAGTACATTTAAAAGTTAGAACGGAAATAGGTTAGAAATTAACATATGAATGACGATGGAGACGGTTTGTAGCACATTGATACGACGTAGACTGTGCCCTTATTTTCTAGAATAAACTGTATTATTTAAAAGGCTGGACTATCTCATTTTATACCTTTTGTTCT